CTAACCTCAGCTAACCCTCAGCTAACCTCCAGCTAACCCCCAGCTAACCTCAGCTAACCTCAGCTAACCTCAGCTAACCTTAGCTAACCTCCAGCTAACCTCCAGCGTCTTCTTCCAGACCCGACTCCAGAACCTGGAGTCGAGGCGTCAGACTCTGTTCAGCACCGTTCACACCTACAGTTTGCTGATGAACCTGAAGAACTTTGTGTGCAACATCGGAGAAGACGCCGAGCTGCTGATGTCACTGTACGACCCCGACCAATCAGAGTTCATCAGGTCGGCTCCATGCTTGAACAAACACACACACTGGTTTTTTTTTAAAAGATTTTACTTGTCTGTTTTTTTTTTTTTTTTGAGGGGGGGGGCAGCTGACCTCTGACCTCTGACCTCCAGGGTAGAGACAATGACAAAACTCATTTTTGAACGTCGGGATTTTTTTGCGACAATTTTCTTAATCGTTTTCTGTGAAAAATTGTAGCCTGAAAAAGATTAAAATGCTAACGCTAACGCTATTATCAATATCGTTTCACGTTTATGAACGACAAATCCCATTTTTTGAACGTCGGGATTTTTTTGCGACAATTTTTTTAATTTTAATTTTTTTTAGCGCTTTTTGCGAAAAAATTGTAGCCTGAAAAAAAAAATGAAAATGCTAACGATAGCGCTAATTTTTCACATTTACGAACAACAAAACCCGTTTTACGAACGCCGGGATAGTTTTTTGCGACTATTTTTTTTTTTTATCGTTTTTTGTGAAAAATTGTAGCCTGGCAAAAAAATTCAAATGCTAACGCTAACGCTAATATCATTTCACATTTACGAACGACAAAAGCTGACCTCTGACCTCTGACCTCCAGGGTAGAGACAATGACAAAACTCATTTTTGAACGTCGGGATTTTTTTGCGACAATTTTCTTAATCGTTTTCTGTGAAAAATTGTAGCCTGAAAAAGATTAAAATGCTAACGCTAACGCTATTATCATTTCACGTTTATGAACGACAAAACCCATTTTACGAACGTCAGGATTTTTTGCGACATGTTTTTTAATTTTAATTTTTTTTTTTGCGCTTTTTGCGATAAAATTGTAGCCTGAAAAAAATGAAAATGCTAACGCTAACGTTAATATCGTTTCATGTTTATGAACAACAAAACCCATTTTTTGGACGTCGGGATTTTTTTGCGACAATTTTTTAATTTTTATTTTTTTTAGGCGCTTTTTGCGAAAAATGCTAGCCTGAAAAAAATGAAAATGCTAACGCTAACGTTAATATCGTTTCATGTTTATGAACGACAAATCCCATTTTTGAACGTCGTGATTTTATGCGACAATTTTTTAATTTTTTTTTTTTTTGCGCTTTTTGCGAAAAATGGTAGCCTGAAAGAAAAAATTAAAATGCTAACGATAGCGCTAATTTTTCACGTTTACGAACGACAAAACACATTTTACGAACGCCGGGATATTTTTTTGCGACTATTTTTGTTTTTATCGTTTTCTGTGAAAAATTGTAGCCTGGCAAAAAAATTCAAATGCTAACGCTAACGCTAATATCATTTCACATTTACGAACGACAAAAGCTGACCTCTGACCTCTGACCTCCAGGGTAGAGACAATGACAAAACTCATTTTTGAACGTCGGGATTTTTTTGCGACAATTTTCTTAATCGTTTTCTGTGAAAAATTGTAGCCTGAAAAAAATTAAAATGCTAACGCTAACGTTAATATCATTTCACGTTTATGAACAGTTTATGAACGACAAAACCCATTTTACGAACGTCAGGATTTTTTGCGACATGTTTTTTAATTTTAATTTTTTTTTTTGCGCTTTTTGCGATAAAATTGTAGCCTGAAAAAAATGAAAATGCTAACGCTAATATCATTTCACGTTTACGAACGACAAAACCCATTTTTTTGGACGTCGGGATTTTTTTGCGACAATTTTTTAATTTTTATTTTTTTTTGTGCTTTTTGCGATAAAATTGTAGCCTGAAAAAAATTAAAATGCGAACGCTAACGCTAATTTTTCACATTTACGAACGACAAAATCTGACCTCCAGGGTAGAGACAATAACAAAACCCATTTTCGAACGTCGGGATTTTTTTGCGACAATTTTTTTAATTTTAATTTTTTTTAGCGCTTTTTGCGAAAAAATTGTAGCCTGAAAAAAAAAATGAAAATGCTAACGATAGCGCTAATTTTTCACATTTACGAACAACAAAACCCGTTTTACGAACGCCGGGATAGTTTTTTGCGACTATTTTTTTTTTTTATCGTTTTTTGTGAAAAATTGTAGCCTGGCAAAAAAATTCAAATGCTAACGCTAACGCTAACATCATTTCACATTTATGAACGACAAAAGCTGACCTCTGACCTCTGACCTCCAGGGTAGAGACTAGGCCGGAGAATATATAAAAATATATATATATATATATATATATATTTTTTTTTTTTTTTTTTTTTTCTATTCCAGTGG